TTGTTGAGCTGCTGTGGTCTGAGGGGAGCAGTGAGGTGCTGAATTTGCGCGAACCTTCCAGTTGAGGGTCGTTTTCGAGGTTGAGGATCGTATCGAACGACTTGAGATAACACACATCCAGCGTGGGTGCTCGTCAAACTGCGATAGCCGACGAAAGCCATTCGCTCCCGCTGATCTCAGTCATTAATGTGATTTTATGTCGGTTCTCATGTCATAAAACTAAGCACCAGTGTGGTTGCCGGAAGTCGGATGTGACGCATCGACGCAGAGCTTTCATTATGTGGACCCATGACGCTTTGTTATTTTTATAGTTTCCCAAAAGGGCTCGGTAACCACTAGGGGAGTTCATCAGAGCGTGAGGGGTAAGAGCGATGGAATTTCGCGCCGGAGTCAACTAAGGGTTGAGTGAAATGATCATTATACCCCCTCCTCCCAGCGGGGTCTCCTAGCGACCACTTTCAACTCTAATCCTTACCGTGCAAGAAACATCCGTCATGAAAATGAGACCCGGTAGGCTTGACTGCAGCTATTTCTCTATCGCCAGGGAGCGAAGATCGAATTGTCGGATCAAGGGGAACCTTTTCCAAGCTTTCTTCACAGACCTCCATTTGTGGAATTGTGGTGTAGCCAGAGCGATTTGAATTCTTTTAAGCCTTGTTGAGCACATCTTATCAACAGGGGAATTTCAACGGTAGTGGCCAATAGAAAGATGAGAGGTCGTGCTTCTCTTTCTCAGAGACACACCAAATCCCAATTAGTACCTTCAAAAATGTTTTTGCAAGACCGTAAAAAGACCCTACTTTTCAAAGTAACTATTAACTATTTAAAACGCTGGCAAAGGTGGCCTGGTTGAAAACCGTTCTGAGAACGCTGTCTTTCAGTGGCATACTTCCTGTTCAATATGGTGATGGTCTCTCTGGCCGCTATGACGACTGGATTGGTGATGCGAGTTCACCGCATGGGTCGCTATGGAAAAGAACCAAAGGAATGGCTGTTGCGAGTTTTTTGCCTGCGGCCCTTGAAAACGAAGGTATGAGTGTTGCACAGGCTTTAAAACCGATTTATTAAGAAGACCTATTACACCACTACACGTCATCCCAAAGATTATACAATGTTTTCTTTTTTGAAGGCTTTGTAGTCTCTATCGCCCTTCATAATAGCACTCGCTCCATTCCCAAGAACTTTGATTTGTGGCACTTCAATTGTTGGACCTTGAGTTGTATCTGGACCATAACAATTCAAACCTCACTTAAAATTTCCACTTTACAAAAAAGCATCCACAACGGCGTTAGAAGACCTGGAAATGAAAGTATCCTACCCTAAATCTAGCTGGGGATTCCTCATGAAAATACATATCCCTCGTACCTGGTGAGTGATTGGGTAAATTTGCCGAGATCGATTTCCATTGACATGGCCATTTTCAAAATGATCATTGTTGCCCAGTGAGGCAGTGTTCAGAGTTGGCGTAGGCTATCAGGCGATCATTCGAAAAGAAAGCATACGTATCGATTAGTCGACTAGGCGAGTAGGGGCCTAGAAATGATACATACTGGTTTTTTGCTCCGCCCATTGAGCGATCGCCTAATCGACTGATCGATATGCTCCCTTCTCCTTGTCATATTAATCGAACCGGTCGCCGGCCGATTCTGCTCCATAAACGTATTGCGATCGCCCCACTCTGAACGCTCCTCAGTGAGACTGAACAGCAATTCACTGCTACCGTAAATGTTGGCTTTCAGGCAGGTATCACAAGGTGGTGCTGTCGCCTCTGCTCGTCACCTTGTCTCAAATGGACTCGAATGGTGAAATGCGTGAGAACTAACCCGTATTGCTGAGGCGTATCCGAGTGCTGTGTAGTCGTACATTCGGCAAAATGAAAAGTTGCACACATGCAGAACATTCAGGGATTCTGCTTCTCTCTCCCCTTTTGGCAACTTATTTATATTGGAGTTTAAAATCAAAAAGAGGAGTGCTTGGGCTTGAGAGAGCTGCTTGAATCAACCGCCGAAAGTTATGATTATCAATATTTGTTATTCATGCTTCACTTTAAATCTACACGTATCGTCAGAAAAGAAAAACTATTGCTGATACGCAGAAAATTAGATGAATACATTATTTCTATATAATGCCATAGCCCTTTAGTTTCGCTCCTTTCAGCCATTGGTGTGAACTTGAGAGTCAGTAACGGCTTTTTTCTTTGGAAATTGATTGCTTCGGATTGTTGGTTTGTGCTTGGCTTCCTGTTCATAGCTGCGTGCCCCTATGCTGCGTCTCAATCTCAACGTTGGTTATCTGTGAACCAAGTCAACGTATCTGGAGAATCTTATAATCGTTTATCTATACGCTGGCTTATCATGAGCCAAGCAAGGGCCTGGTAACTCACTATTATCTTCCTGCTACGTGATAATCGTCAAAAGTCTCAAATAATTAACAAAAGACTGACCCAGATTAATACACGAGCGAAGAACGCCACCGAATTGGGCCGGGAGGAACGCTCCAAAACTCCACCGAGTTGGCGGGACAACGCTTCAGTCAAGGATCCAGTACTGAGGTCAGCTAAAGTGAGAAGCATTCACCCATAAGACCGGGCAGGATTACGGTTATGCCACGTAATATCTCCCAGTAAAATCAGAAAGCTTATGCCGTCGAATTGAATGAGAAAACTGATCTTATTATCCAGAATAGAGGTCTCATTTGATAAAAACTGTGAATTGACAAGAAGACTGAGGCTCAGTTTTCTCTTTCAAGACACAAAGGCCTCCAACATGTTTTATAGGCGGCGATAGACTCAGCATAGTTTCCATTTTGTGTAATCCACCGGACAATCTTCGTCCGTGCCGTTAATTTTTCCCTGGCCCGATTAAGCGTAAACTTGTGGCGCCACCTGCGGCGCTTAAGCAAGATGTGCGAGCTATCGAGTCCTCGTCCGCGCCAAGTTGTTGTCACTAGAACTCATGGCTTTTTTGTAAGAACGTGATCACATTGAAGTTAGGCGAATGCGGCCAGATAGCAGTTGAACAAACAAAGAAGCAAGGCTTGTGCTGAAATCCTGATTCACAGTTGTTATGAACAGCCTAGCAGCAACGCTTAGCGTATGCAGAGTCTTAACATTTAGTTAAAAACAACAACTAGGCAGACGTCAAAAAAAATCACTTCGTCCACACCGTTTTAACCCGCGGGACTGAGGACCTCCACGCCTTTTTTTTTAGAAAATAAATCATCATTAATTTATCACCAATTTTATCTATGATGATGCTTACTGTTTCCTGGCTCTTATAATGAGTGCAAACCCTTCAGGAACCTTGAAAAATGCCAAATAAATCGGGTAAAACTATGACTTCGTCACTTTAATCTGTTGAGCACCATGGTTTGGCTGCACGCGGTTAGCAATGTGCTAAATTAATTCCTGGTCAACGACTTGATAATTTTGCGCTGGACTTTTTTTGCAAAAACTATTATTTTTGCGAAGCACTGATAGTGGCGTGATTCGATTGCCCCACCAAGGGTGATGGCTATTTCGTATTCAGGCACAAAAGTGGGAAATTTCCAAGTAGACTTCCCTGGGTTTTTTGTCTGAGATCGTTTCCTAGTTGTCCTTTTTTGTAAGTCGATCGCAGTGGGGCAATTTTTTGATTAGTGTCAATAGGGTAAGGTTAAGGCAATGTTAGTTGTCCAGGCTAGGGTTGGAACAGATCGCATTTTGTCGTATTCGGAAAATCGCGAAAAAAAGGGTAATTTAACTGGAATAAAAAAGAATAACTGTTTTGGGATTTTCAGAAATTTTTGCATTACTATTTATTAAAATATATAAAAATCTAACAAAAATATTATGTTTGACATGAGTTATGGCAAAAGACGTCTGCGGTGATTTCTTTTTTAGCGATACTTTATCTAAACAAATTCCAGGGGTTTTTCACAATGATATTTCCAAATGAGTTCAGGAAGTGCTGTTCTATAGACAAACGTCACATGGATCGATTAATCGGTCTCTTAAGTAAGCCAGGTTGAAATCGGGCCGGCTCTTTGGCAACTGCTCGCCATAAATTGTGCAGAGATCGCGCCAGAACGACGTGTTGAACAATGCGCTGCGATGAGATTGCGGAACTTTCCTGAACAGAAAATCCCGGGTTCGCCAAAATTTGTGGATATATTGAGTACCAGAATATAACTATAAATCATCATCAAAAAGCTTCTACAATGTTAAAACTTCAATACAGACACAGAGGATGAAAATCGAACTAAATTCCGTTACTCATTTCGTACTTTTTTTGAATTAGGGTCTCATCCAGTAAGGGGGGCATAGCGATCTAGAGCATTTCAAACCATGAAAAGCATGTACTTTTGCTGTAGACGTTCAGGACTGAGCTTCAGAAGGGAGGGAGCCCCCGGGTCCGTGAGCAATCTTGGTTTCCCCGGGAGGACTTCCTCCCCACTCCTAGGCTTAGTTCTGACTTGCTGACTAGGTGAATATTACTTTTCGTAGACGTTAATGTCATCTAGTACAAGAATACATACATTACACAAAACAACTGAAGAAATAACATAGGAAAAAGCTGATAGCAGCTCGTAACTTTAAAGGACTCCTTGACAAATTGGCATAGACAGCATCGTGCCTATCTCACAGTGCCACCTCTTATGATGATGACCCTTAGATAATTTGTCATAGACACTACCTTGATACTTACAAGAAACATGGAACCAGCTAATTAGTTGCTTTTACTTTCGCACTCTAGCGATATCAGCCCCCCATTGAATGCCTCAATGTCGCGTCAGACTTCTGCGATTGCAATCGCGCGAATGCAGTCGCTCTGCGCCAGAGCGATTGGGCCATCACCTCCGAAGTGGCGAGCGCCGGGGATGAATTTACCCGATACACACGGGCGTTTGCGCACGGGTAAATCCTCCCGTCGCTCGCACGTTTTGGAGCGCATGCCAAGTCGCTCTAGGCCAGGAGCGACTGCATCGGCGCGATGCTCGCAATCGCCAGAGTCTACCGACATCTTACCTCATAGCGACGCTAAGGGTGGGCCGCCTGCGCACCAAGTGCGCTTTTTAGAGCTCGGCCAGTAAGTCTTGGCGGACGCCATATGAAAGAATCGATAACCGTCCGGATTTGGATTATGGAGGCAAAACTGTCGGTATGGAAATAGGATGATGTGATTGCCACTGGGAAAGGCCAAAAAGAGTTCCGACTGAAGGCACTCCGAACCGCCAGAGGAATCGTTCCCGTCGCCAAAATTTTGTGACAGATGTCGTGTGGGTGAATTTTACCGGCGTAATAGATCTTCAGGTTTTCCGGACTGTTTATCAAAACAAGCCCAACATTTTTTTTTGTTGAGAGATTTCATGTAATCTTTATTGGTTCAGCTGTTATAACAGCTTCTTCAGACCTATATAATAAGCTTGTAAGTACATCACAATCACAGCGGTTTGACAAGTAATTATCCTAATAAATACTAATTACCATTCAATCTAAGACCTGTCATTCACGAAAGAATGAAAATAAGACACTTTTCCGGTTTTGTCGTGGAAATGATGGGTTCTGAAGTTATTGATTTGGGGTAGGAGAGGAATTCTGAGATTTTCGCGTGGACGCGTATCTTTAAAAGGGGACGTTTACTATAGTGGGTAGAGCGCAGCTCCGTTGCGATTGAGGAAAAAGTTGTGGTGTGTTCACTAAAAGAGAAGCGACTTTTCGCTTTTCGCACGCGAGGTTTTTCGTTGCAGGAACCCAGGTCTGGTCATGATCAGGGGTGTCCCAAGGGTTCCCACAACGGAAAAGCTTCGCGCCACGAAACGCGGAAAGTTGCTTTCTGCCCTAGCGAACCAGGTTCGTATAACTTCGTTGGGGGGTGGCGGAGCAAGGAGCTGCAACCCTCGCGCTTGCGCAGGTTCTCAAGCAACGGCCACGTTGGCAGTTTTTCGCCGATAGACCACAGACCCCCCCCCCCCTTCTCCGCTGCGACATTCACACTCGCATGCTCGGCGTCTCGTGTCTCCACCTCATACAGCGCTGTAGTGAGAGATCTGCTCAAGGTTGCCGTTGCGCAGCTGCGCATACGCAGGGTGCTAGTTGAGGGGGGGGACCACGCGGCGGCGCGGCGCTCTGTTCGTCTGCTCCTCCAAGGCTTAGTCCGCCGATGGCGCGTATTTCGAAACTGCCACGTGGCGACGAAATAGTAACTGCCCCTTGGACTAAGCCTTAGAGGAGCAGACGAACAGAGCGCCGCGCCGCCGCGTGGTCCCTCCCCAACTAAGTTAGCACCCAAGCAACTTCACCGCACTACAGATTCAAAGCCTGCAATGCAAGCTTTCTGGAGCATAAACAAGCAGTGAGTGTGTTGATGTGCAGAGTCCCAAGCTATCAGTTTTCATAAGCAGTTTGATTCGCCTGCTTCATGGAACTCCCTTTGGAAAAAACTGCAGCTCTTGAAGCGGAAAGTGAATGAATGTCGTTCAGGGTGAGATCGACGACTTCGACGTGGACGATCCGACGGCGATCAGACGACGTCGCGAGGCGAACGGCTATGTGCGGATATCGGAACGGCTTGATCTGTTTTTCATGAGCTTCTTTCTCACTCTGGTTACCATTCCTGTGATTGTACTTTTCTACCAAACTTAACCGTCTTACTCATTTCTTAAGAAAGTGAACTTTTTGTTTGTATTCGCCCCATTTTACGGAGTTCGAAGGCCCTTGCATCATTGGCTTTTGGCTGATATATCTCTATATATCTGCGGAACGTAGAAAATTTGAGCCCCCCTCCTACACCTGTGAAGTAATCGTTCAGAATATTTGCACAGTTCTGCTCATTTAATCTTAAGATTTTGTTAGTTGGACCTCGCCCCTTTGAATTCGGTTGTAGTGCAAGATTTCGCGAAACGAGAGATGTCATAACGAGATAATCATAATCAAGTGATCAGTGTTCCACAGAATCACCGACATCGACACCGCTCTCAACAAAATTGTTAACGATAAGCAGAAAGCGCCACAAACACGCATACCAGCAGCCTGGTGCCTCTCCACTACAGAAGCCACAACACAAATGACGACACCGTCCACCAAATATAAGTTTTCTACCATCGAAATGATTATCCAATTGCAGTGGTGTTCTATCGATTGTCACTAATCACCACAATTGATTAGTTGATGTCACTTATGAAAAAATGGTTCCAATTGCCAGCGCCACGCGGGGTTACCTTTCCCCGCTTACGTGCAGACACCAAAGCCGACTTATTCGTCCACCGGCGCCCATGGCCTTGGAGGGGGAGGACAAGGAGACATTCAAAACAGTGCATTTGAAACCGTATGGGGTACACACCGGAATAAGACTGAGAGGGCGGAGAACGTACGGTGAACAGGAAATGGCCCACACCATCCCCGGAATTCCTTGCCTCTGCTTTAAGCTAGCAGAATTTGTAAGTTGGGAATATTATACTATCGAATGTATTTATTGATACTTTGTTCACTCAAATCCATCACATGCCACCCGCAGCCTCTCCGCCCCCAACGGCCTGAGTGTATGAGGTAATTAAATCTACCCAGCACTGAACTGAGCGCAGAGACTGGGTGTTGTAGTGATTAGGCGCTAACATCGAAAAGATATTCAGTTCAAGATGAGAGGGAATCTTCGTCGGGAAATAAGGCCTTCAATGCAAGGTCACCGCGGCAATGGGCATTCTATCGAGGGCATATATTCGAGCCACATATTGCATTACCGATGAGTCGAATAAGCAGATTGGTTTGCTCGTTTTTCACAGTCTGATATGTGACCTCACTACGAGGGAAGGATTCGAGGTGGTGGCATGGGCATCTGGGAGGACTTTCATAGGCTAGAACTGTTTGCGGAATTACTGTCAGAATTTTTTCGAGTTTACGAATTTCATCTTGTTAAGAGCTTACAGTAAGACGAAGTTAGATGAATCAGCGTTTATTCGTGGGTTTTTGATGGTTCAAAGGCGAGTAGGTGCTGAAAGGGTTTCTTTACTTACGGTTAGCTCAACTAATGATATAATTCCTCACAAGAAGTGGTCTGATTCCAACCCCATTTATGATTTCTGCAGCAAAAAAAAAGTTATGTGAATATCTGAAAAAAATTGGTCTGGAGATTGCTCCGAGAGAAAAATCAGAAGAAGGATTCAGATAAGCTTGAAGAGGGTGTCCAAAGTTGTTAGCGATGGGACAGGCACGGCAGTTCCGCCTGTTTATTTTTATTTTATTTTTATTTATTCGGCTATTGTTTACAATTGGAGTACAGGAATACATATGTAATTATTGAAGTACAGAATGACAATAGTATAAGCAATAGAAAAATTGATAATAAAATAAATAAAATATATGGACGATAAATGATAGAATTTACATGTTACGAATTAATCTTATAGGATAGAAATATAAGGCACAGAGATATAATGGCTGAAGAGATAAGTAATTCGGACCTATTCCAACGGTCATGGAGGTGGGGGGGGGGAAGGTGGGAACGTTGGTACTATGCGGTTTTTTGTTTAACACAGTTTTTGGGCATATATGCTTGAGCATCAGGGCTTACTTTTTTGGAAATGGGAAAAATAGCATTGTCTCCAGCGGAAACACTCTTAACTGGAAACTCCTTACAAGAGCGCACTAGCTCAGTGAGACGCACTCTAGCGCGATAGACCGAGTCTACTGTGATCAACCACAAAGACCGATGAGGAAATAACCATCTCTGCAAATTAACTTATTATGTGTGCTCAAATGCAGCGATTCTGATGGCTGGAGAATGGGATGGTTTCAGTGACGTCATTGAATGTCATTGGTGCAGGTAGGTTAAGCGACGGTCCCGATAGCGCGCCAGCGCATGGAGGGGTCTGGTGGGACTACTTGGGACTTTTCCTCAAGTGGTCCTGCCGCGAATGGCTAGAGCACAGACAATTAGAGAACGGGTGAATGCCCTAGGACTAAGCCTTGGAGAGGAGAGGGACCCGCGAGAGCGCAGAGGCGGTTTAAAGGAACTGAGTTCAAGTAGTCCGTCGACCGGATCTGGTCCACCGATGACGTCATCGAATCACCAGCCGACCTGGTCACTGCCTTTGACGGCAGCGTGAGACAACACCTTTGAAATGATGCAAATGGAGATCCCGAGGCTATGCTAATATTTTCAACCTTGTCCACTGTACATTGCTGACCAGCCCCTTACCGACTGTCATCCAGGTTCTTTGCACGGTGGTCATCTTGCGGATAAAAAATTAAACCTTAGAAGAACTTCGAGATCAATCGCATTCCCTCTTCAGCTCATTGCCGGCTTCCAACTGCGAAGAGCTGAGTTCCCGATTGGTTCTCGGCAACCAGTTGGCCCAAAAAGAATACCCACGAGCTTCTAAGACACCCTGTTAGCTTTACTTTCAGAACTGTCATTCTCTGAATGAGTTCTAAATGGTAATATAGAGATCATTATGAAAATTAAGGGGACCAGGATCGAAATGGCTTTGAATTCAAATTTTGGAAAGAAGCATAGAGAGAGTGTATGTGACTCAATTCCCACTGTTATTAACAAACGATTCTGATTTACGGTAGGATACGGTAACCCAATATTTTCCAGCTCTCCGATTAGCGGGAGGATACGGTAATCCTGCAATTGCTAGATACCATATACAACAGGTTTCAAGAAATATTTGGCTTTTTTCCAGTGCATTGTAGAATAAATGTCATAACCAGGTGGATACCTATGTCGTGTTCGCGTGATTCCACCCCCTGACCCGCGCGATTTTCGCAGAAGTGAAATCGCAAGGCTATCTCACACGCCTTATGCCCATTGTAGACGGATTGAACTTTCAACGTTGTTTGAGTCTGGTGAAGTTGAGATCGAATTTTGCCTGTGTTTCGTTTGTGAAATGCTGTATTTGACTACAGGTTTGAGTTGGGAAGTTGCAACAATTTGGCTGGTGACGAGCAAACTCTAGCACCAGGCGTGACTCGAATTCGCATCTTTTGTTTGCGTGGACTGTCTTACACTACCGTGTCACTATTCACATCACCGAGCAGTTTCCGCATATATCGTGATGAGCCGGTTGCCACACTGTTGCCTTGGTTGTTACATCGGCAGGGACAGCAAGACTGCAGTAGTATAGAATAACTATACAAGGGGGAGGGGCAAAAATCACTCCTCTCCACATTTGAAACGGAGTTGGGTACAAATCTCAATTTTATTAAAAAATTTAAAATTTATTCTTATTTAAAATTTATTTATGTTTATAATTCAAATTCTTAGTTTGAAAATTTTCAAATCCAAACCAAACAATCTCAACGAGAAATTGAGGAGCACATTTCAATCTATCGAAGAGCTCCATAGTAGTCATCTACCAAAACGACATCAGAAGAAGATCGCAGAAGGCTAAAGAGCCGTTACGATGTTAACTGAAAAGCTGGTTAGAAGGGCCCTGGCATTTTTAGAGCTACTGTTTCTAGAAAGTTATCCATCAGTTAACGATTGAAGAAATTATGTAGCAGCTTCAGGCTGGAGCGATTACGGTAGGCCTCCTTGAGCTCGACGGTGATGGCAGATGACGTCATATTCTGGAGACGGTGAGGGCAGTGAAGGAGGGCCTGCTTCTGCTTATGGGGGACATCTAAGGAATATTTTGCCGTAAAACTTCATAACAGCGGCATCCTGTGCGACGAAAAGTTTGATGATGTGCGCCATAGGCAAAGTGATTCTTTTTTGCCTCCCCCTCCTATAAAGTGAAAGGTGAGCAACCGTGAAATGGTGCCCCGGTAGTGTAATGGCAGCTTAATTATCCGGTCGGCAAGAAATTCTCACTCAGCTGAATACCTTCACGTTATTGAGCATACGAGGTACAGTCCTCAAAGTGCCCGATTCTTCATGTGCTGTTTTCAGGAATTTATGCATTTGCTTTCATCATGTTCAGCAATAAATGCTTTTTCATTCGCTAGTATCCTGCTGCTATCGTACAATATTTGCGAAGTGTCCAAGATATCTGCACGAATTGCTGACCTGTTGTGAGTATTTCAACGGAAATGGCTTTTTCTTTGGGTAAATTTAAGCAAGATTTATTTATCAGTAAGTCGGTTACGTTCAGTGACAAATCGGTAACTAATGAAAAACTGAGCTCATTACTAAAGTGCCTCAGATATCCACCACTACCGTTATCAGGGAAACCCTCTTTTCTTGTCTCCTTGAAAAAATTCACAAATTGTAGGTACTCTTGTATTTTCTAACATGAAACCTGATATGACATAAAGCATGAAAACATGAAGACGTCGAGAGTGATCAGTCTTGTTCTTTTGGGTAGCGCCATGCTTTATCTTTATTCAAACTCGGTGTCGTCATCGACGACCCCCTTTATGGAAGCGTTATGTATGCGCCCAGCCCCCCGCTATCAAGTGGGGCGGTGCATGGAATTGTTCTATGGGCCAGACATTCTCGATACCTACAGCGTTGGGAACGGCCACGCTTATATTCTCTCTCCTCAATAAAGATATCCCCTGAACCGCCTTGCTTATTAGCCAAAAAGTGCCACAAAACCCAAGTCTCCCGCAGCGACCCTGGCCACTTAAATGCCATTTGGCCCATTCGCGGAGAACAGCCGATGTAAAAGTCAGTGTTTTTATCCTTCCAGTCTGAGAGAGGTTCAAAGGTGAAAAGAGAAAATTAAAGCCTGTTCGAGCGCGGTGGTAACCACAATTCGCGCTGGATAGCGCTGAATGTCGAGCGCACAGTTCGATCGATGTTGCGCGTCTCAATTAGAGTTCCGGGCAAAACAAAATTGCAAGTTTGAAGGCAGGCTTCGGGATAAGAAAAGAAAAAAGATAGGAGACGAAATAAAAAGGTTCGTCTGAGGAAGGAGCGTGGAACGAACCATTTAATTATTTTGTTTAAAAGGTTTTTTCTTTCTTAATTCGGGATAAAATTGGTGTGCGAGAGCGTTCAGAAGCTGGGGTGGGAGTGGCTAGAAGAAAAAACGAATGGAAAAGAGAATCCCAATCACGTCCCGAACTAGGCACCCCTTCCTCGGCCGCTCCACCGTGAGATGGAGAACGGGCGTGTTTGGACGAGTTACTCCTGGAATGGAGTTCGAATGTGTTGCGCATTCTACAGGAATCTGATTGACACTTCTCGCATCAATGGCTTTCTGTTGTACAGTTGCTGCGCTTTGAAAATCTTTCTTTTAAGGTCCACAAACGACAAACAGCTTTTTCCACTTACTCCAGAGCAGCCCATAGCATGGATCGAAGGAGAAGGCGAACAGGTTGGGAAATTTGTTATTTTCTGACTCTTCATATTGCTCGATTACATTTCACTTGAAGTTTCACATGTGCTGACGATTTGCACCTTAACTATTACCTGCAAAATGCACTTTTGGATGTTCTGTATAAAAGTCGGCCTGAAAGAGGTCTGAAAGCCTTAGCGAGCGAGGCAAACGCACGTACACATAGTGTTGACCTTGAAGTCAGCGATTACGATAGATTTGAGAAGGGTTTAAAGGAGACGTGGTGGTGCTCAATGGTACGCAGTGGCGAAAAAAGCTGAGAAATCCGTCAAGAAAACGCAAAACGGGACCCCTTTTTTGGCCGTTGGTTTTCACTCATGAACAGGTAACAGCTCAGAAAGCGGACGTATGAACGAGTTCACCGCAACGCGTTTGGTGGCACCATGCCAAACCACGCTCCAATCGAGTTGCTCCAGTTGTGCCGCTGCTGGCAACGCAGCTCGTCCAAATCACCAACTAAACTAGTGGGCGGATCGCTTTTGGGGCGGAGTGCTTTCGAAGTCCTGCTCAGCAACCAGCGCACCTTTCGTCGTGAAAGCGCCACATCTCGTTCCCAGCTTCGTATATGCATATGG